TTGTTGTTGAAATAAAGAAGGGAAGGGTTGACATTTATTCTACTATCCAGAACAATTGTGTCACATTACCTTTTTTGTCATGGCACTCAGTATGTCACAAAATGTAGAAGATATATTTAGTTTTGCCATCGTAGATCTGCGTTGTAGAATACATTTTAGTCTTTTGAGTGATTTAAAAAATTTAGTTTATACTTAAAATAGAATTACAAAGTGATTCAATATGCATATTTTAATTGAAAACATCTTGGTAAATCCCTTTTGTTTGACTACAATTTTGCTATGCTGATTTCGGCCGACCTGCTGCCATTTTGTTTTTACTGATGCTATTTTGTTTGTTTTTATTGCTCAGTGGAATTCAAGACCGGTTCAAATATGTTACTAAAAACGGGGGAAAAAAGCTGATTGGTGCTTTTTATTTTATTATCATCCGCTTTTGTCAAAATAATGAAAAAAACAGCACAAAACTACTACAAAAATTGGACTATATCAGGTAATGATTGTACATATGTCACCTCAAATCTCTGTTACTCCCTTGTATTTTTTTATTTTTGTATTTCTTATTTTCTTTTATTTATTTTTATTTTATTGTTATTTATTGTTATTCCTAATGCACCTTTTCTTCCTTGTTTGCACCTTCTTTAATTACTATACCAATATGTGACCAGTGAATTTCTCCACTGTGAGATCAATAAAGCTCATCTAATCTAATCTAATCTAATCTAATCTAATCTAATCTAATAAATAAATGTGACTGGCTCTAAGGAGAGCGGAGAAGAGAAGAGGACACTCCAAGTTTGCTAAACAAAATCAGCTCCCGACCAGGTTAGCTCTGGGAAGAATGTTACTACGGTGACTACAACAGAGGTTATGTAGACTCTCTTTTTGAAACGGAAAATTTTCCCATATTTCAGGTTTAGAAAACTTCGGGTTTTCTGTATATCTGCTTCTTGAAACGGACCACTGTTTTGCCACAGTTGTTTTTATGTTTCTGTCTTTTCTAAGAAACTTTGTGATTCACATGAATAAAATCACATACAATCAGGAAGGTTCACATTTTTTTCTTCAGAAAATTAGTCCTACTGAGAGATGTCCCACCAGAGGATCTGGTACATGCCTTCTGTATCCTCTGGAGGGACAGACAGACTGTTAGCTCATTAGAGGAGATGTGAGGCCTGTTTTCCTGGAATTAAGAGGATCGGTTAACTTATTAAGAAGCTGCAGCTTTTCTTTGGAGGCAATTTAATGACTTTGAGTAATTTCTTATAATGCCTGAAGGATAGAGACAAAGTAATGGAGGGTTTCCTGTATGGAAGTGGCAGGAGGGTCTCTGGTAGCGAGGAAGTTTTGGTTTTTTGACTCTTTGTCTTAGCAAAGCCCCACACCCTAACTGAGCTTTAAATGTTACTTAAGTTAAACCATCTTACCTTAATGCTGTATCGTTTAATGCATTTGTGACTCATTGTCATTATCCACTGTAAGATGAATGAAACAACACTGCATTTAAGATCTCTGCATCAATTGTTATTCACATATGCCTGCTGCTGTTTTAAAAGGAAATCACCGAATGCATTAATGAACCTAATCTAACTTGGACATTACATGAGAAATTCTTTGAACAGACTTTTAGAACCCTTTTCCCTGTTTCCAAATTATTCATTTTATCTACGTCGTGTTTTATTTGCAGTAGTTTTTAGTGTTTGCATAGATGTTAGATATGCTATAATCTTGGTTGTTAGAAAATAAAGACATCAACATTTTAATCTGTAGTAGTTTGTGATTATTGTGCAGTGAGCAATTTATAACTCGAACCAGATACACCCATCTTTCATTAGCATCCGAATGGACATAGACAGATTTCTGTTCAGTTTGGTGATTAATAACTGCACATAGCTATAGTCTAATTTAAGAAATTGGTGAAGGCAACTGCATTTTAAAGAGCGTGTCCAGGAGACCTTGTATGTAAAAGACCAAGAACCCCGGTGAGTAAGAAAATTTAAGTTATAATCATTCAACTAATCGATCGAGAGAGGTCAGCTGAGGTGGATCAGACATCTTTTTCGAATGCCCCCTGGATATAAACTTAGGACACACTGGAAGGACTATGGCCGTTTCTCAATTCACTAGAACACAAATACGGACTCCTGTTCTCTCCAAGTATGTTCTTGAGAAAAACACAGGAGTATGGATTCGGGGAGAACGGGAGCATGCAGCATAAATAAGGGTCAATTGGAACAGATGCGTACTCGTGACGTCACCACACGCTCAGCNATGTGACCAGTGAATTTCTCCACTGTGAGATCAATAAAGCTCATCTAATCTAATCTAATCTAATCTAATAAATAAATGTGACTGGCTCTAAGGAGAGCGGAGAAGAGAAGAGGACACTCCAAGTTTGCTAAACAAAATCAGCTCCCGACCAGGTTAGCTCTGGGAAGAATGTTACTACGGTGACTACAACAGAGGTTATGTAGACTCTCTTTTTGAAACGGAAAATTTTCCCATATTTCAGGTTTAGAAAACTTCGGGTTTTCTGTATATCTGCTTCTTGAAACGGACCACTGTTTTGCCACAGTTGTTTTTATGTTTCTGTCTTTTCTAAGAAACTTTGTGATTCACATGAATAAAATCACATACAATCAGGAAGGTTCACATTTTTTTCTTCAGAAAATTAGTCCTACTGAGAGATGTCCCACCAGAGGATCTGGTACATGCCTTCTGTATCCTCTGGAGGGACAGACAGACTGTTAGCTCATTAGAGGAGATGTGAGGCCTGTTTTCCTGGAATTAAGAGGATCGGTTAACTTATTAAGAAGCTGCAGCTTTTCTTTGGAGGCAATTTAATGACTTTGAGTAATTTCTTATAATGCCTGAAGGATAGAGACAAAGTAATGGAGGGTTTCCTGTATGGAAGTGGCAGGAGGGTCTCTGGTAGCGAGGAAGTTTTGGTTTTTTGACTCTTTGTCTTAGCAAAGCCCCACACCCTAACTGAGCTTTAAATGTTACTTAAGTTAAACCATCTTACCTTAATGCTGTATCGTTTAATGCATTTGTGACTCATTGTCATTATCCACTGTAAGATGAATGAAACAACACTGCATTTAAGATCTCTGCATCAATTGTTATTCACATATGCCTGCTGCTGTTTTAAAAGGAAATCACCGAATGCATTAATGAACCTAATCTAACTTGGACATTACATGAGAAATTCTTTGAACAGACTTTTAGAACCCTTTTCCCTGTTTCCAAATTATTCATTTTATCTACGTCGTGTTTTATTTGCAGTAGTTTTTAGTGTTTGCATAGATGTTAGATATGCTATAATCTTGGTTGTTAGAAAATAAAGACATCAACATTTTAATCTGTAGTAGTTTGTGATTATTGTGCAGTGAGCAATTTATAACTCGAACCAGATACACCCATCTTTCATTAGCATCCGAATGGACATAGACAGATTTCTGTTCAGTTTGGTGATTTATAACTGCACATAGCTATAGTCTAATTTAAGAAATTGGTGAAGGCAACTGCATTTTAACTAATCGATCAAGAGAGGTCAGCTGAGGTGGATCAGACATCTTTTTCGAATGCCCCCTGGATATAAACTTAGGACACACTGGAAGGACTATGGCCGTTTCTCAATTCACTAGAACACAAATACGGACTCCTGTTCTCTCCAAGTATGTTCTTGAGAAAAACACAGGAGTATGGATTCGGGGAGAACGGGAGCATGCAGCATAAATAAGGGTCAATTGGAACAGATGCGTACTCGTGACGTCACCACACGCTCAGCTCGTCTGAAGCCGCATTTCACCTCCTGTTATTGATAATATCTAGACAATAATAAGTTTTAGCTTGTTTTAAATTAGTGGGGGAATACTAATTAGCACAGTCAGACAAACACAGATCAAATGAACAGTTTACCAAATAAAACACAAATATCCCATCAGAGCCAACGGTAATTCACACACGACTATGCCGAAAGAGGGCTGCTGCAGACGGGCTGCACTTAGCCCTGGCTGCCGTTACCCTCGGGGCTCCGCTAGTTGCTGCGGTCCTCTCAACTTCAGAAAAAAAAATTTTTTATCACACATTAAATTGGTAAATGGACAAATTAGGGACCCCTAAAAGTGTAATGTTCTCACCTCAAATGATCTTAAAACGTACTTTTATAGAACAAAGGCAACAGAACATAGAACTTTTAACTTAATAATCCGAGCTCTGTGAGCGCTCCATTAACAGCAGTGCATGCTGGGACAGCTGTCAATCTCAAGAATGGACAAGTCTGCTCTGATGAATGAATAGGGAGGGGCGATAACAACATCCCGGGGACTTTGTCCATTCTCGGTCTGCTGTTCTTGTGAACAGTATTAGGGCTGAGGCTGATAGCGTTTCCGGAGTACACAAGCACATGAGAACACACAAGTACACATATTAAGAAACATCCTATGTCTTTCGGCTGGCCTGGGAGCGCCTTGGCTTCCCCCTGAACAGCTGCAGTGGGTAATTATCTTGGAAAAACAATGAGACAGCAACCAGGATTAACTCGTTCATCTCGCCAACTCTTGTGGAAGGTTCTTTTTTTTTTAACATCTTCATGCATGTCAATGCATCCACGGCTCCCCGAGTCGCCGCAGAGAATGCTAGTCTGCTTATACCCTTTCTTATCATGGAAGTGTATTTGCGTGCACAAAAAGCATGCTTGTGATGTGGCTTCACATGGAAATTCAATGTGTGTTTCTGTTGTTCCAGAACACACTAGGTTCAGCTAGGTTGTAAATGTCCTTAACTAATTGAATGATTATCAGCTTTCCAACATACACAAGCTGACTCGACCATTCCATGACCTCTTTCTCACCTGAAACACTGTCTTCCATCATGTCTAAGATCTTAAACCCAACTGTTTTCGAATGCAATGTGGCCTTTGTTTCAATAGTCAGTTCACTTAAGGTGAGATCAAATATCTTATTTACCCCTGTTGAAGGAGGTGTCAGGGGATAGGGAAGTATTGGAATCTCTGCTTTGACTGCTGCCCCTTTAACCCTGTCCCTGGTGAAGCAGAAGACAAAAAGACGACACAAGGACCAGAAATAAAGACAGTAAATGTTTGGGTAAAAGGGCCACATGCCCACTGACAACCTGGGCAACCAGGTCATTTGTCCTCCGCCCAGGGTAGAGTGGGGGCACTGTACCAGCCCTCTCCATTTATGACCAAGAAAAAAAATTTAGATAAAAATAAAAATGCTTGCAAAGAAATTTCAAGTATCCACTTCCTCCTAATAGCTATGATGCAGCATGTTTAAAGTTGATCAAATTGCTATACAGACTGGGTGTACTTCAGGTAGGGACAGGAAAATTCAGAGCCTAAATGTATCCCCGCCATCTTGGGTCAGGCAGTGGTTCCATCACTTTTACTTAGAAAAGGTACGGCGGCTCTCACCAGAGGACTGCACGTCAACAGCTTTGTGTCTATCTGTGCAAGATGAAGCTATAATTAAGACCACACCAACAGGTATTGGTAACAGGTTGCAATGCTTTTAGTTTTACTACCAGACATGCCCACGGCTGCATCAGCCAGCTGCTGCTGCTATAGTTGTATATAAATCCTGCTGCACAGCCTTAACTGCTTAAAATACATTTTTTGACCATCACATTTTGTGCTAGATCTGATCCAAAAAGTGACAAATATATGATAAATTAAAAAGTGACAAGATTTCTATTTCTATATGTAAAAAAATAATTTTTTCTTGCATTGCATGCATTAAATAAATACATATGTTAGTAGCCTAAATAGATAATAAAAGAAATACATTAACTATTAAATACCTTTTTTTTTGAGTCCAAAAAACAGTCGCCGAAAAATGTACATTCAAAACTTCCCTTCATCTCTCCTGCTCTGTGTGTCAGATGTTTAATTATTCCTCTTCCGCCTTTAGCAATTATTCAATTCAGTTTATTTCGATAGCGCCAATTCACAACACGTCATCTCAAGGCACTTTACAGTTCACCAGATCATCCATTCAAATTGATTCAAAGTTTTCTATCTAAGGAAAACCAGTAGATTGCATCGACTCACTGACTCGACTACAATCCTTCACACTAAGCATGCTTGTAGCGACGGTGGAGAGGAAAGACTCCCTTTTAGCAGGAAGAAACCTGCAGGAGAACCAGGATCATTGTGAGTGGCCATCTGCTGAGGCCGACTGGGATTCAAAGAGACAGAAGCAGAGATACAAAAAGCAGCTGTATATAATGGTTTGTGTAATAGGTTAAGCATATTTGTAGCTTTGAAGGTGAGAATATCAGAGCTAGAGTCCAGGCTTCGGGCTGTTTTACATTTCACTAGTAAACTGCCCAGAGCTACAGAGACCACACTCCTATGGAGTGAAATATATTCCAATATCATTGGAGGCTAAATGTTTTTTTATAGAAATGTGTTCATAAGTTTTATTTTAAATATCAAAGAAAAAGCTAATTTTCTCCCCCAGATTTTCTTTCCCAAATATTTTTTTTCCAAAACTAGTTTTGCATTTTATTTTTCAAAATCAGATTGTACACATTTTGAGGTTTTAATGAATATTAGCAATAGTGTTAGGTTTGATGGGTGTTTATAGAGGACCTAAATCCAGAGATGGTTTCTTGAAGGTTTAATGATGAAGTTGGTGGCAACAGAAGCATAAATACAGACTGAATAGGCAGGGAACTTAGAAACCATTATGAAGAGACACTTGGTATGAACATACATACAAATGAAGAGAATCCAGAAAAGAGGAACTGCACAGGTGGGGTAAATATGGGAGAAGAAACAATGAATAGGCTAATCAGCTGATACTGAGCAGTTGTAGACCGGTGCAACTAAAAAGGAGCTAAGGGGAAAGAAAGTGGACACTAGGGGGCAACAAAGAATACGCTGGAAAACAACGAGATATATCTGTAAGTAGGAAATAAATAATAACAAAAATGTTGAAAAAAGATAACTGAAAGAAATAATAAGGGAGAGTAAAACTGAGAATTCAAAAATGATGTAAATCTTGACAAAAACAAAATAACATAAAATTAAGCATAACTGAGATCTCAAAAAGAAAGCTTAAAAAGGACCCAGAAAGGGCAGAATCATGATAAATAGTATTTTTATTTCGTCACATTTTTTAGTAGTTGGTGGAAGCACTACCCTTAGAAGGTTAGCAAATGCTGGAAACCCTATTTGAAAAGAACTGGGTCTCAGAAAACAAAACAAAAAAACATATATTTTTAAAATATACTCTGAATTTTTAAAAAAAGTTGTATCGCCTTGTGAATACAGAATCTATAGTTATATACAATATAAAACATGCAATATATTGTATGCAATATATAGTATATAGATATATACTATATACACATAAAATATAAATATAAAAAATATATACAAAAAATATATATATAATTAAAAGAATGAATGTTAGAACTGTACATATACAGTCATATGTTTATATTACTATTTTTTGTGTATTTATTACTGATTTTAAGGCTGCACTTTAAAAATGAAATTGTCTAGAGCTGTTTTAAGCTAAATTTCTTTTTGTTTACAGTCGTGTAACAAAATGACTAAACAAATCTGTCTAAGTCTACACAGAAGACTGCGCGTTAATGTGATGCAGGAGGTCTGGAGATGCTACATTGGTGTAGCTTGTAGGTTCTGAACGGGGGGGGGGGGGGGAGGGAGGGAGGCAGCGTCACTGGATCTCTGGGCCTTGTTGATAAGGCTAGTAGCTGGTGGGAAGAAACTGTTTTTGTGGTGTGAGGTTTCGGTCCTGATGGAAGGCAGCGTCCTGCCAGAGGTGAAGTGTCTGAAATTGTTTGTGGCTGGAGTGCGAAGGATCAGCCACAATCTTCCCCGCACGCCTCAGAGTCCTGGAGCGTACAGATAATGGAGAGATAGAAGATTGCAGCCAGTCGCCTTCCCTGCAGACCGGATGAAAGGCTGCAGTCGCTCTTGTCCTGGGCGGTGGTAGCAGCATACCAGATGGTGATGGGGGAGGTGATGATGGACTCAATGATGGAGTAGTAGAAGTGCACCATTGTTGTCCTTTGCAAGTTAAATTTATTGAGCTTCCACAGGAAGTAAATCCTCTACTGGGCTTTCTTTTTGAGGGAGTAGATGTTCAGCTCGCACTTTGGGTCCTCTGATCATAGTTCTCAGGAAGCGGAAAGACTCCACAGTGTCAATTGTGGTGTCAGAGAATGGGATGGGGATAGCTGGGGCTGAGTTCTTCCTGAAGTTCACAACCATCTCCACCGTTTGTAGAGCGTCTAGCTCCAGGTTGTTTTCCCTGCACCAGGTCGCCATATGGTCAACCCCCCACCTGCAAGCGGTCACCATCAGAGATAAGTCTTACAACCAAACAAAATCAATAGGGCATGTGCACACATGCGTAGCACGACGTTTTTGGCTGAACTGAAGGAAAACAAGAATTGGTTTAAATTCCCAACTAAAAATGTCAATTGAGACTAACTTTTTACCTTTCAGACATTTTATTTAATTGATACAATAAAAAGGTAAATTTAACAGAACAGGGCACGTTTCAGTGTTTTAACAGGTGAATAAGTTAGCTTATAAACATAAAGGGAGATTTTTTAGAATGTATGCATCTCTGCTTATTTCTAGGTGGTTATACAGAGAATAGATGCATAACACATAGACTACAGCATGAGTTTAGTGCACTGAGATGTTGTCCTGATAAGCGGCCATTCTCTGTCTGAAACCCTTCAGAGACAACATCACATCACCGACTAATGATCCCCTAATGTGTGGACATGTGATCTCTGATGGGAGCAGGTTTGCTGGTCAAAGCTGATAAAACATACGTGAAGCAATCTGAGGCTCTGCAGACCAGCTCTGCCTTCATGGACACAGCTACAGACTTCTACACTTGTGCAGGTGGAGTAGCACTCTGTGGCAGTCCTATCTTTATGTGTGCTTTAGCTTTGCAGCATCTTCGTGAAGTAGACATTTTTGCATGTTGTAAATAATTCCTGCCATGTCATCTTCTCAGTTTAACAACACTATTGAACAGCAGTATTCGAATTCCCTGGAAATATTTGTTTTTTCCCTCCTGTCTACGGTCCCGGCCTGCCTCTTTCTCTTCATTAATGGCACCTTGATGTTCAGCCTGAGGAGCAAACCTGTGCTGCGATACACCTGCCGTTATATTCTTCTGTATAACCTCCTTGTTGCAGATACAGCTCAGCTGGTGGTGACTCAGGTCCTGTCTCTACTTGCTATCTCCAGAGTCAAATTGACATACGGCGTCTGTGGCACCATCACTACCATAGCCAACCTTACCTCTGGAATTTCTCCCCTCATCCTGGTGGTGATGTCTCTGGAGAGATATGTAGCTGTGTGCTACCCTCTCAGGCATGCTTCCATCATCACCATCAAAAACACAGCAGTGGCCATTATTGCAACCTGGACTGTCAGTTCCCTTAATAATGTCACCAGAAACCTGTTCTTATTAGAATTTGAAAACCTTGGTAGTGTCATGATGAAAGACTTTTGCTCTGATGTTGCTTGGTTTCCGAATTCGTTGTGTGAATATTATGATAAGGTATACACTGCTTTTGTGTTTATTTCAGCCGGCTTGACTGTCATTTTCTCTTATGCTGGCGTTGTGATTGCAGCCAATTCAGCCTCTACAGATAAAGCATCTGCCCTTAAAGCCCGTAAGACACTGCTGTTGCACATCATCCAGTTAGGACTCAGTCTGTCCTACACCATTTACTACCCACTGCTCATAGCTCTGGCCGGGTCTGTAAAAAGAGTAGTATTTGTCTGGGTCCAGCGGGTGTTTTATGTGTTTATTATCATTCTACCGAGGTGCTTGACTTCTTTAATTTATGGCCTCAGAGATAAGACCATCAGACCTGTTCTATTACAGCATTTATGCTGCAAAAGAAAAAGCCTTATCTGAAACAGTCACGTGATGCAAAGTCAGCTTTATTTTCATGAACAAAAAAAACAAACACATTTTTATTTTTATCTATGAAGAAGAATGTATGGACATAAAAATACCCTAGCAGTTTGAGACAATAGAAAAGTGTTTGGTTGATATGAAAAGAGGAGATCTCTCTCCCCTTAATATTTCAGATCTTAGAATCCTGAAATTAATTTGTTTGCACAAATATACAAACATATCTAGAACTGTTTTAGATCAACTATGCAAGCCAAAACCCCTTTTGGTTGGTCCTGATTCCAAAGGTAGGCTTTATATCAGCCTTTTATTTATTTTTTTATAACAAACTTTTTTAGCTGAATAAAACTTTTCTATTTTCTCACTGTATGATGTTCTAGTTAAAGTTTGTGCATTTCTGTAAATTGTACATTGCCAGCAGAAACACATTAACGGTTCATATGTTTTTCTCTGAAAGAATAAAGATTGGATAAATCTTAAGTTGTTAAGGGTCCTCTTCTTTTAATCTTTTGAATTATACTGTACATGTCAGTCTTTAAATTCCTGGGCCTCAGCTACACTGACTGCATGTCTGTTCACTGTCCAAGAAAAGCCACAAGAGCCAGGCACACCAGCTCCACTTAGAACCTCCTTGTTTCTATGTTTGATGAGGTATTTCACCTTTTTTGGAAAACAATACACGGTATAAACCTAGACTAAAACATGACATGTTTTTATGGTCATGAGCTTTCGGTCATGACTGAAAGAACAAGATCCCAGATACAAGCGGTAGAAATTTGTTTTCTCTGTAGTGTGTCTGGGCTCTCCCTTAGAGATAGGAATTAGGTAATCCGGAAAGGGCTCAAGAGTAGAGCTGTACTGTATATTGGGTACCAACAGAAAATGTTTTGCTAATACTGGTAATAGAAAGAGAAAAATCCAAAGAAGGACAAATTATTTTACAGGAAGACATGTTTGGAGCTACTGTTAAGGAAAATACTACAAGACGCAAAAGTTACACAAATATGGAGAACTATTGAAGATCTCCTTTAAAAAAAAAAAAAAAAAAAAA